TACACAACGACCAAGTGGAAGATAAAATGGAATAATAAAAAGTATACAATTAAACAAAACCAAAGGAGAAAAGTGGGGGAGGGAGGGTGAAAAAGAACAAAGGAGCCTATAAAACAGCTAGGAAGATGGTATATTGTAATCCAGCTATATCAGTAATCAATTTTAATATGATTATTCTAAATGTGCCAGTTATAGATAGAGCTTATCACATTGAATAAAAGAGCAAGATTCATCTAAATGCTGTTTTACATGAAACCCATTTTAACTACTTGACTACAAGGTGGAGCAGCCCAAGACACCAATTTTAAATATAAAGGTAAATAAGTATATTAAACACAAATGATAGAAAAAAAAAATCACAAAATACTAACCACCCCCCAAAATAAAAATGAGGAAGCAACTTTAATATTAGACTAAGTTTAGAGCAAGGGATTTAATTGGGGATGAAAAAGCATAATGATAAAGGGGTTAGCAAGAAAAGAAAACAATCAATGTGTACTCAGCTAACAATAGCTTCAAGATATATGAGGCAAAAACTAATAGAACTGAAAGGAGAATAGACTCATGCACAATTATAGTTGGGGACTTAAAACTCCTCTTTCAGGAATCAATAGAACATGAAAGCAAGGCCGGGCGCGGTGGCTCAAGCCTGTAATCCCAGCACTTTGGGAGGCCAGGGTGGGTGGATCACAAGGTCAAGAGATCGAGACCATCCTGGTCAACATGGTGAAACCGCGTCTCTACTAAAAATACAAAAAATCAGCTGGGCATGGTGGCGTGTGCCTGTAGTCCCAGCTACTCAGGAGGCTGAGGCAGGAGAATTGCCTGAGCCCAGGAGGCGGAGGTTGCGGTGAGCCGAGATCGTGCCATTGCACTCCAGCCTGGGTAACAAGAGCGAAACTCCGTCTCAAAAAAAAAAAAGAACATGAAAGCAGAATATCAGAAGGGTTACAGAAGACTCCAAAATAACATTATCAACCAACATTCAAGTATTAATTGTCAATTATTTTTTTTTTGAGACAGAGTCTCATTTTGACGCCAGGCTGGAGTGCAGTGGCCCAATCTCGGCTCACTGCAACCTCCGCTTCCCGCGTTCAAGCAATTTTCCTGCCTCAGCCTCCTAAGTAGCTGGGACTACAGGCTCACGCCACTACACCCAGCTAATTTTTGTATTTTTAGTAGAGACAGGGTTTCACCATGTTGGCCAGGATGGTCTCAATCTCTTGACCTTGTGATCCATCTGCCTCGGCCTCCCAAAGTGCTGGGATTACAGGCTTGAGCCACCACGCCTGGCCAATTGTCAATTTTTTTTTTTTTTTTTTTTGAGATGGAGTTTCACTCATGTTACCCAGGCTGGAGTGCAATGGCGCGATCTCGGCTCACCGCAACCTCCGCCTCCTGGGCTCAGGCAATTCTCCTGTCTCAGCCTCCTGAGTAGCTGGGATTACAGGCACGCACCACCATGCCCAGCTAATTTTTTGTATTTTTAGTAGAGACGGGGTTTCACCATGTTGACCAGGATGGTCTCGATCTCTTGACCTCGCGATCCACCCGCCTCGGCCTCCCAAAGTGCTGGGATTACAGGCTTGAGCCACCGCGCCCGGCCAATTGTCAATTTTTTAAATGTTCACATGTCAGTGACATTTATAGAACACTCTAAACAACATCAGAATACATGTCTTCCTCAAGTGCACATGGACATTCACCAACATAGATCATATTTGGAGCCAAAATAGAAATCTCAAAAATTTTAAAGACATAAAAGTCATTCAAAGTCTGTTTTCAGAACATAGCAGAATAAAACTAGAAGTAAATAACAGGTATCTGGAAAGTCTCCAAATATTTCAAAATTAAACAGATTTCTAAATTTTCAAAGAGGAAACATTATAGGAAATTTAAAAATAATTTGAAAGAAAATGGAAATGCAGCACATCAAAATATGTGGGAAGCAGCTTAAAGGGAAGTTTGTTGCATTAAATGTTATAAATAATTAGAAAAGAAAAATTATTACTACACCTACCTTAACAAACTAGAGGGGGGGAAAAAAGCAAAGTAAACTCAAAGCAAATAAAAGGAAGGGGATATTAAAGATTACAGCCTAATTCAATAAAATTTGAAACCAAAAATAATAGAGAAAAAGCAGTGAACTAAAATCTTATTATTTGAAAAGATCAATAAAAGTTTAAAAATAGAAACAAATTGCTAATATCAGGAATAAAAGATGGGTTATCACACTCACTTGCACAGATTTGAGCAGGATAATAAAAGAATACTGCAGACAACTCCATTCTGTGAATTTGACAACTTGGATGAATGGGCAAATTTTTTGAAAGACATAAACTACCAAAATTCAAGCAATAAGAAATAACCTGGGCCGGGCGCGGTGGCTCACGCCTGTAATCCCAGCACTTTGGGAGGCCGAGGCGGGTGGATCACGAAGTCAAGAGATCGATACCATACTGGTCAACATGGTGAAACCCCGTCTCTACTAAAAATACAAAAAATCAGCTGAGCCTGGTGGCGCGTGCCTGTAATCCCAGCTACTCAGGAGGCTGAGGCAGGAGAATTGCCTGAACCCAGGAGGCGGAGGTTGCGGGGCGCCGACACCGCACCACTGCACTCCACGCTGGGACAAGAAAAAGACTACAACTATAAAAGAAAAAAAAAAAAAAAAAAAAAAAAAAAGAACCTGAATAGTTATGTATCTATTAATGAAATTGAATTTGTGATTAAAAACCTTCCAAGATGGAAACTCCACACCCTGATAATTTCCCAGGTGAAATACCAAACATATAAGGAAGAAATTCTAACTATTCTATACAGACTTTTCCAGAATATACAAGAGGAGGAACGTTTTCAACTCATTTTATTAGGCCAGCTTTGCCCAGATACCAAAGCCAAAGATATTACAAGAAAACTGGAGACTAGTATTCCTTACGGAGTTAGAAACAAAATTGTCAACAATATATGGGGGAATTAAGCAATATGGAAAAAGGATATCACAATAGGGTTCATCTTGAGAATATGAGATGAATTTCCAGTTCATCTTTTGAAAATCAGTTACTATAGTTGACTGTAATAAGAAAATAAACACGACTATTATCTCATTAGATGCGGAAAAGCACTTGGCAAAAGTCACCATTCATTCACATTAACGATGAAAAACAGCTCCTCAGCAAACTAAGAATAGAAGTGAACACCTTTACCAAAGGGCATCTTCAAAAAACCTAGAGCCACATTATAGTTAATGGTGAGATACTGAATGCTTTATCTCTAAGACAAAACAATGCAAGGATGCCCTCTCTTACTACTATTATGATATGCACTATTGTTCTGAAAGTCCTAGCCAGTACAGCAAGGGAAGAGAAGGACATAAAAGACATAAAGATTGAAAAGGAAGGAATATAACTGTTTCTGTTTGCAAACATGATTATCTTAAGTAGAAAATGCCAAAGAATCTGCAATAAACCTCTTGCATAGTACAGTTAGGTTAATGTGTCATATTCTACATTCCATTTTAGATTACACCTCCCAGAATTTACATCCTGGTTGAATTCTATTTGTATACAGTAAAATTCACTCTTGTTTTTATGCCGTTATTTTGTCCCTTTATATATATATATTTTTCAGTCGTGAATTGCGCTACTGTAAACATGCATGTGAAAATATCTTTTTCTCATAATCACTTTTCCTCTGAGTAGATACAGAGGAGTGGGATTGCTCGATCAAATGGTAGATCTACTTTTAGTTCTTTAAGGAATCTCCACACTGTTTTCCATGGTGGTTATACTAGTTTACATTCCTACCAACAGTATAAAAGTGTTCCCTTTTCACCACATCCATGCCAGCATTTATTGTTTTTTGATTTTTTTAATTATGGCCATTATTGCAGGAGTAAAGTGGTATCACATTGTGGTTATGATTTGCATTTCCCTGATAATTAGTGATGTTGACTATTTTTTCATATGTTTCTTGGCCATTTGTATATCTTCTCTGGAGAATTGTTTATTCGTGTCCCTAGCCCACTTTTTTTCTTTTTCTTTTTTTTTTTTTTTGAGGCAGAGTCTCGCTCTGTCGCCAGGCACCAGGCTGGAGTGCAGTGGCGCGATCTCAGCTCACTGCAACCTCTACCTCCCGGGTTCAAGCAATTCTCTTGCCTCAGTGTCCCAAGTAGCTGGGACTACAGGCATGCACCACTATGCCTAGCTAATTTTTGTATTTTTTTTAGTAGACACAGGTTTCACCATGTTGGCCAGGATGGTCTCAATCTCTTGACCTTGTGATCTGCCCATCTCGGCCTCCCAAAGTGCTGGGATTACAGGTGTAAGCCACCATGCCCGGCCCCCTAGCCCACTTTTTGAGGCAGTTGTTTTTTTCTTGCTGATTTGTTTGAATTCCTTGTAGATTCTGAGTATTAATCCTTTGTTGGATGTATAGATTGTGAAGATTTTCTCCCACTCTGTGGGTTGTTGACTTTGCTGATTATTTTGCTGTGCAGAAGCTTTTTAGTTTAATTAAATTCCATCTATTTATCTTTGTTTTTGTTGTGTTTGCTTTTGGGTTCTTGGTTGTGAAGTCTTTACCTAAGCCATCGTCTCCAAGGGTTTTTCCAATGTTATCTTCTAGAATTTTTATGGTTTCAGGTATTAAATCTAAGTCTTTGATTTATCTTGAGTTGATTTTTGTATAAGTTGAGAGATGAGGATCCAGTTTCATTCTTCTGCATATGGCTTGCCAGTTATCCCAGCACCATTTGTTAAATAGGGTGTCCTTTCCCCACTTTATGTTTTTGTTTGTTTTGTCAAAGATAAGTTGACTGTAAATATTTAGCTTTATTTCTGGGTTTTCTATTCTGTTCCCATTGGTCTATATGGCTGTTTTCATACCAATACCATGCTGTTTTGGTGACTATAGTCTTATAGTATAGTTTGAAGTCGGGTAATAGAATGCCTTCAGATTTGTTCTTTTTGCCTAGTCTTGCTTTGGCTATATAGGATCTTTTTTGGTTCCATATGAATGTTAGCATTGTTTTTTCTAGTTCTGTCTGTAGAATGATTGTGATATTTTGATGAGAACTGCATTGAATTTGTAGATTGCTTTTGACACTATGGTCATTTTCACAATATTGATTCTCCCCATCCATGAGCATGGGATGTGTTTCCATTTGTCTGTGTCATTTGTAATTTCTTGCAGCAGTGTTTCGTAGTTTTCCATATAAAGGTCTTTTACCTTCTTGGTTAAGTGCATTCCTAAGTATTTTATTTTTTTTGCAGCTATTATAAAACGGGTTGAGTTATTGATTTGATTCTCAGCTTGTTTGTTCTTGGCGTATAGCAGGGCTACTGACTTGTGTACATTAATTTTGTATCCTGAAATTGCTGAATTCGTTTACCAGTTCTAGGAGCTTTGGGGATGAATCTTTAGGGTTTTCTAGGTATACAATTATGTCAGCAGCAACAGCAACAGTGTGACTTCCTTTTTACTGATTTGGATGTGCCTCCCCCTCCTTTTTTTTTTTTTGAGATGGAGTCTTGCTCTGTTGCCTAGGCTGGAGTGTAGTGGCACAATCTCAGCTCACTGCAACCTCCACCTCCTGGGTTCAAGCGATTCTTCTGCATCAGCCTCCCGAGTAGCTAATCTTTGTAATTTTAGTAGAGATTGTAATTTTACCATATTGGCCAGGCTGGTCTCAAACTCCTGACCTCATGATCTGCCTGCCTCGGCCTCCTAAACTGCTGAGATTACAGGCGTGAGCCACCATGCCTACCTGGATGTCATTTCTTTCTTTCTCTTGTCTGATTGCTCTGGCTAGGGAAAAGTACAGATTTAATTCTCTTACCATCCTTACCTCCGACACACATTACTCACACATACATACTTTTTATTTGTTCCTCAAGATATAATTATATCACATTTTAATTTCTTATAAATGGCTACTTAATTCTTTCTTAATTGCTAATTATTACTGTCTTAAATGTTTCAATACATTAAAATACTTAAGATGTTTTGTCAATTTCATAATTTTCCTGGATATATGCTTTCATGATGCTACATGTATTCTTTGATACAGAGATCCCACATTTGCACCCATTTCAAATCACCCTACACCTAAGCTCTGCATGATTATTTCAGTCATCCTTACACCTATTAGCACCTTTGTGGTGTGAATATTCTTGGCATTTCTGATAGATGTAATTATCATTCCATTACAGGGTGACCTTTAATCCACCCTGTGCATGCATGTTTCTGAAACTACAAGACAGGCTTATTTTAATGACTTCTATTCTCTTCCCCAGCTCTACCTCTGCAAGCTCCATCCCTTCCCAGAAAGAAGAGGAAATGACTGAGTCCCAGGTAAATATTAAATACTATATTTGTTTCTTGCCTTATTCTCTGTTGTAATTTAAGGGGATTGCAGTAATTCATACAGTAAATTATAAAGGCCTATATACATGAAACATATTTTGGGGGGAAACAGAGTTGAATGATTAAAATTAGGGAAGAGTTAAAATGTGGTTATTTTATGAAATGCATTCAGAGAGATTAAAGCTGGGCTTCACCATAGCAAAAATTTGTTAAAAAATTTTCATTGTATGTAACAATAAAAAAATTAACATTTTCTAACAGAAATAAGCTTTTCATTGATACCTAGGTCAATGAAAACATTTTAGTGTTACTTCTTATAGTTGATAAACGTAGCTTTTTTGATGTTCTCTTTCCATCAAAGATAAAACAAAGTGTAACTATCACAATAGCCCAGCCCTTAGAAAGAATGCAAATGAACATTAAAAGAAAAAGGAGGGCAGGGCGCGGTGGCTCAAGCCTGTAATCCCAGCACTGTGGGAGGCCGAGGCGGGTGGATCACGAGGTCAAGAGATCGAGACCATCCTGGTCAACATGGTGAAACCCCGTCTCTACTAAAAATACAAAAAATTAGCTGGGCATGGTGGCGCGTGCCTGTAATCCCAGCGACTCAGGAGGCTGGGGCAGGAGAATTGCCTGAACCCGGGAAGCGGAGGTTGCGGTGAGCCGAGATCGCGCCATTGCACTCCAGCCTGGGTAACAAGAGCGAAACTCAGTCTCAAAAAAAAAAAAAAAAAAAGAAAAAGGAATAAATTATAGTATTTCACATGGTAGAATACTACTTAACAATAAAAAAGAACACATAACTGCTACACACAACAACCAACATGGATAGATTACACTAACACAGAATGAAAGAAGCCAGAAACAAAAAATTATATTTCATAGGATTCTATTTATATAAAGTTGAAAACGGGCAAAACTAATCTATTTTGAAAGAAGTCAGAATACTGGTTACCTCTGAGAGAGTATTTACTGTGAAATGGCGTGAAGAAATCTGGAGGGCTGAAAGTGTTCTATATTTTGACTTACTGGTAGGTACCCATGTCTATAAATGTATACAAATCTATCAGATTGTATGCTTACGATTAGTCCATTTTACCACATTTCTCTCTGCATGTGATACATAAATGTATTTATTTACTTATTCCTTTATTTTTTGAGATGGAGTCTAACTCTGTTGCCCAAGCTGGAGTACAGTGGCATGATTTCGGCTCATGCAACCTCCAGCCTCCTGGGTTCAAGTGATTCTCCTACCTCAGCCTGCCTTGTAGCTGAGATTACAAGCACCCACCACCACACCTGGCCTATTGATTGATTGATTAGTATTTTTAGTACAGATGGGATTTCACCATGTTGGCCAGGCTGATCTTAAACTCTTGATCTGAAGTGATCCACCTGCCTTGGCCTCCCTAAGTGCTGGGATTATAGGGGTGAGCCACCATACCCAGCCCATAAATTTAAAAAGAGAAAACTAGACTATCTTAAGAAAGAGGTGGGATGTGTGTCTTTCAGATGACTATGTAATAATCTTTTTCAGTGGGCATTTGCTGCTGATTGAGCTGCACTGTAAAGTAATCATTTCTGGTAAATTCTTAAAATTTTAATGACTAGAATGTGAGCAGAGTGTGTTTTACTTCGTTTATTGCTGTATCTCCAGCACCTAGAACACCACTTAGTACATTTGATATTCTATGAATACTTGTGGCTTTCTTTCTGATTTATCCTACACTCACAGATATTAAACATAAATTTGACTTTTTACCCTCAGCTCAAAGTTTTACTCTTCTGAGATGTATGTTTCTTTGACTGTGTTTTGTTGTTTTGTTTTTTTTGTTTGTTTGTTTTTTTTTGAGTCTCACTTTGTTTCCCAGGCTGGAGTGCAGTGGCTCAATCTTGGCTCACTGCAACCTCTGCTTCCCAGGTTCAAGCAATTCTTCTGCCTCAGCCTCCTGAGTACCTGGGATTACGGGTGCTCACCACCATGCTCAGCTAACTTTGTATTTTTAGTAGAGATGGGGCTTCACCGTGTTGGCCAGGCTGGTCTCCAACTCCTGACCTCAGGTGATCTGCCTGCCTCAGCCTCCCAAAGCTGAGATTACAGGCATGAGCCACCGTGCTCAGCCTACTATGTATTTTTATCTACCAGCTTCTGTATATCTCTAGTTTCTTCTTCAGGCACACTCAGTTTATTTTCAAAATGAACACACCTGTGTAACAGCACACGTACTCGATGAAGAAATACAGAATTACCCTAGCACTCTAGGATAACTTTTCTATACCTTCCTAGTTATCACCCTGCCGTAGGAGTGTTCAACTTTTATCACTATAAATTGTTTCTGCTTGTCTTTTAACTTTAACTTTGTCTTGTCTTTTAACTTTATCCGTGTATTTAATCTGTATATTCTATGTCTGGCTTCTTTTGTTTAATATTATGTTGGTGAGATTTATCCATGTTAAATTGTTGCATCTAGTTATAGTTCAGTTAATCTCATTGCTGAATATTATTATTACCATTTGTTTCATGAGTGGAGAAACAAGCCCAGAAAGATTAAGAAACTTGCTTAAGGTTGTAGAGTTCAGTCCAAGCAGTATGACTGTGAAGCCTGTGTTCTCAACCCCGTCCTCTGTAGCCTCAGCTGCATGTATGATTAATGAAATGCAAATAAGATTTTTTGTTATTGTTGTTAACCATCAGATTTCGGTTGAAAATAGGTTAATCATTTCTCAGATCTATTCTCTAATCAACATTTCCATGGATCTTATAATCCACGTCACTTCATTTCTTACCTGAGACTACTTTGATAAATGCCTGCTAATCTCCTGGTATCCACTCCTGACTCTCTATAGCCCATTCTCCATAGAACAACCAAAGTGATCATTTAAACCTAAGGTATTATTATGACTTCTCTGCTTAATGCCATCTAGTGGCTTCCCTTTACATGTGGAATAATGTCCCTTACAAAGCCCTTCTTGGTATGCCTCTGCCCATGTCTTTACCATGATCTTGTGCTACACTCTCCGTCATTCACTGTGTTGCAGCCTTATTAACCTTTCCCCTCTTTGAACAGACCAAGTTTATCCTGCGTCGGGATCTCTGATGGTTTTAAATGCTCCTATCCTAAATATTTATATGACTGTTTCTTTCTCATCATTCAGGTTGCTGAAATGTCATTCTCCTCAAGGTTGTCTTTGATTATGAAATTCAGAGTCAAGTTTTGGACTCATTCTATAAGCCTTACATTTATTGCATTTTCTTAACTCATCAATATCACATTTTATCTCACTTATTCACTTGCTTAAAAATTTCCGTGTCCCCAAAGTAGAATCTAAGCTCCAAGAGGTCCAGAATGTTTCTAAATTCGCTCTGCTAACTCCTGTGAGTACTGATTGATAAAATGAAAAGGCTAATTTTAATGCAGTCTGATTCAAAACTTAGTTCAATCAGCATATTGTTCTCCTGGTAATTATTTAGTCATTCAGATTCTCCTCTGTATCCCTCTTCTCTAGTAAGGTGGTGTTTAAGATACCAGGGAAGATATTCATAGCTTGGGTATGTGCTGGATGTGGTCAACTGAATCCGATTTAGCTAGCTCCTTTTTCTGGGCATTCAGTGGCTGATGAATTTATGGTGTATTTCACAGTTCAGTGATGGTCCAAGGACCCCTCTTTATGAACTGGCCCCCTTTGGTTCTTGCTATCTCTGTAGATCTCTCTGAATTTGTCATGCTTCCCAGATGGTTCCTGGGTCCCCTATATCCCACAGTATGTAGGATAATCTTGCCTTTTTTTTTTTTTTTTTTTTTTTGGAAAAAGGTCTTGTTCTGTCATCCAGGCTGGAGTGCAGTGGCACAATCTCAGCTCACTGCAACCTCTGCCCGCTGGGTTCAAGCAATCCTCCCGCCTTTCGCCACCCAAGCAACTGGGAGTACAGGCACATGCCCCCATGCCTGAATAATTAAAAATAATAAAAATTTGTAGAGACAAGGTCCCACTATGTTGCCCATGCTGATCTCTAACTCCTAGGCCCAAGCAATCCTCCTGCCTCAGGCTCCCAAAATATTGGGATTATAGACGTGAGCCACACCCAGCCTCATCTTGCCTTCTGGAATGACTCCATTTCATCCTACTCAAGGTCTGTGCTACATGGGAACTGAACGCTACTTAGAAGTTATTCTCCCAGTTTAACATGGCACTCTTCCACTTAACTCACTGCCTCTCTCCCATTTCACACTCATGCCTTGGAGTGTGGGGAGTTCTAGGCACATAAACTGCTTACCTCCCTACCTTCATGGCCGTTTTTCTCTAGTCCAGGCCTGTAAGAGGAAGGAGAGGATTTTTCCCTTTCATCTTCTCCTCTGTCTTTCCTTTTTCAATGAAGTCAGAGAAAAGGTATGAGGTGTAAGGAAATATACATGAAAATGTATTTCAAAACTAGTATGCTGTTAAACATGTTTGGAGCCTATGAGTGCTGAGTAGAGTCCAAGGTAGTATAAAATAAGGCCATGGAAAGTCTCAAGATATTCTTGGTGATAAAGTGCATTGATAAAGAAAATTAGCCCACAGAGGAAAATTATCACATGTTTGTTCCTTTGTTACCATATTAAGTTTTCATCTACAAGTAAAAGACTCGCTTCTCCAGAAATGTTGGGCAGAGTACCTAAGAAAAAGAAATTAATTCAGCTGATATATACTTATGGAGCCTACTGTGTGCTCTGCATTCTGCTTAGTGCTTTATTGGAGCTCTTCATTTTTTCATGTGGATTTTCATTGTTTTTCGTTAATTCCTTTCAATCTGAATAACTTCCTTTAGTGTTTCTTATGTGGCCAGTCTGCTAGCATTGACTTCTTGGTTTTTGTTTATTTCACCTTATTTTTTTATCTGAAATTCACACACATATTAAAAATTAATCATTCTACAATTCAGTGGCCTTTAGTACATTGACAACTTGTGCAGCCACCACCTCTATCTGGTTCCATAACGTTTTTATCACCCTAAAATAAAACCCCATACCCAATAAGCATCTGCTTCCTCTCTTCCTCCTAGTCCTGGCAACCCTCAATCTGCATTCTGTTTCTATGGATTTACCTATTCTGGATATATTATCTATTCTGAATATTTCATATGTGTGTAGGTGCGTGTGTATATATATATATATATACACACACACATATATATATATTATTTATATATATAAATATACATATATATATATATATATATAAAAATATGTGACCTTTTCTGTCTGGCTCCTTTCACCTAATGTAATCACCTTTGTTTCTGAAAGATAAGTTTCCTAAATATAGGATTCTTTGTTGATTGTTTTTTTTAATTTTTAGTTTTTGTAGCTATATAGTAGGTGTATACATTTAGGAGATATACATTTATGAGGTTATGAGGTACATGAGGTATTTTGATACAGGCGTATAGTGAATAATAATCACATCAGGGTAAATAGGATATCTGTCACTTCAAGCATTTATCCTTTGTGTTACAAACAATCCAATTTACTCTTTTGGTTATTTTTAAATGCACAATAAATTGTTGTTGACTATAATTGTCCCTGTTGTGTTGTGGGAAATTAGGGAACTGGAGAGACCGATGAGGTTACAGGAGGATTTATTTCAGATGAACACTGGCTCAGTGTATTTGAATCTAGAAAAGTTTGAGGATTGGACAGAGATCAAGTGCGTTTTATACACTTAAGGGCACAAAAAGAGCATGCTTACAGAAGCGAGAACAAAAGCAGTTAATTACTACAGTATCAGGCTTACACATGACTCTTGGTATGTGGGCCAAGTGGCCTTATCTTGAGCTTAGGCCAGTTCAGAGCAGTCCTGCAGGGCTCTGTATAGATTTATTTCCTTGACTTTTTCTTTGATGTTTACAGTACTGTCCTGTTTGGATATTTCTCATGGCTTTCCCTGTGTCATTTAGATACAAAACAGGTTTACAATACACAGGAAACAGATATCTATAAACTTTTAGGCTTACTTGTATTATCAGGGTAGGGATGTGGGAGAAAATTTATGCTTTCCTCCAGGTGGTGAGGGAGTATTGGGAACGTTTTTAGAGCACATTTCCTTGAGCTCTGGTTTCTGAGATAATGTTACCAAAGCTTCTGCAGAGCCGGGGCTTGTAGGCTGTCTTCAGTCTGACACAAAGAACTTACTTTTATGTGGCTTTATTTTTATTTATTTATTTATTTTGAGATGGAGTCTTGCTCTGTCGCCCAGGCTGGAGTGCAGTGGCGTGATGTCAGCTCACTGCAACCTCCACCTCCCAGGGTTCAAGCAATTCTCCTGCCTCAGCCTCCTGAGCAGCTGGGATTACAGGCACCCACCACCACACCCAGCTAATTTTTGTATTTTTAGTAGAAACGGGATTTTGCCATGTTGGCCACGCTGGTCTCGAACTCCTGACCTTGTGATCCACCCACCTCAGCCTCCCAAGGTGCTGAGATTACAGGCATGAGCCACTACACCCAGCCTGTGACTTTATTTTTTTATTATTTTATTTCTCTGCCTCATTCCCCACTTTGATGCTTCGTTTGAGTGAAACTCAATAGAAAGCATCACTTCTATTTAGTTCTTTATGACAGGGTGGGTCTTTTGTTGTAGGCAAAGACTGATACTTCATTGGAGCCATCAGTCGGGTTGCAGTTGTTTTGTCTACTGAAACCGCTATAGTGGACTGAATGCTTTTAATAATAAGAGGTAAGAGGCAAGGGAGTATTAAGAAACTCTGTAGTATAGCCAGGACCGCCTCTATTAGTTTTACAACCACCAAAGGATGAAAACCAACCTTTGAAAAGGGAATCTGGAGACCATCCCAGTTTCTAAGACTGAACTGGGACATGAACAATTTTTGCAGTCATTTCCATGATAGCTTTTTTATTCTTATTGATTTTTAAGCAACAGTTAGTTAGGTTTAACTTTTCACATACTTCTCCTTCCTGAGTAAGGAGATAGTTTAAAGCCAGCCCATTCTGGTAAATTGCATTCCTTATCTTTCTGGATTGCTGGGCTAACAGATCTAAAGCATTTGCTGTTTTATTAGTAATGATTTTAAGTACTGCTTGTAACCTTATGATGCGGTCAAGCATGTAAATTGGGGTTTGGTATCCTCATGATCCATTCTGTGCCCAGATGGCTGGCCTATATATTGAATTATTTTCTCAGGGGGCCAGTTAGTGTCTTCCCAGTCTCTTATTTTTATGTCTCTTTTGATGTTTATGTCTGTTTTTTTTCTTTGATTTTATTATAAATGGTGGACCTAAGAGTCTTTCCTTCCTGCAGTGGGAGTAGGAAGAAAGATGGTCTTATCGACCTTAGTATGCAGGCCCGTCCAGTTGGCAGGTACCCGCCGATAAGCTCATTGCCCACAGTTTCAGTATTGCTCACAGATTCAATAGAGGCCAGAGGGCGTTTGCCAGCTATTAGTTGCTTCTAGTTGGTGCCGGGAGTAGTTCAGAGAAGGGAAGCAAGAAGATGGGTTGTAGTGTGCCAAATTGGTGGTACTGTTACCTTGCTTGTTCTTGGCTTGCCACAGAGGTTTTTTGTTTGTTTGTTTGTTTTATTATAATATTGCTTTCTAAGCAAACTAATTCCTTAACTGGGTTGGTGAAGGTTTTTTCCCAGCGGGCAATGCAGTATATCCCTGTGATAGAAGATTTTAAGAGCCAAATGCTTGAGCATTTGAGCCTTGGCTCCGAGAGGGGGCAGGCGAGAGTTAGGGTAAAGTTTTCTTGAGGCATTAACTCTTTTGCTTCCTATGCCATTGATTTCCTATATTGGTTTATTCACAGACGTAACAACAGGAGGAGACTCCTAGATTGCTGGCTATATTTTTGGCCAATTGAGCTAACAGGTTACTGGCTGCAGGAGGGGGTTCGGGCATTTCTTGGTTGATATTCTTATAGAATGACTTGAATGCCTGGGATTGTTGCTGAATGGGAGGGAGTTGAGGTTTGTTTTTTTTGTTTGTTTGTTTATTTGTTTTGCAATTTGCAAAATGACTCTCTGAACGTCTATGTATATTGTCATACAGTTAGTTACCTGTCATCCATATATATAGGTCTGGCTTGAGAATTGAAAGAGTTGCAGGGTGGCAGCTGCTTACTTTACAGTTTGGTTTCAGTAGAAAAGGGGAAACTGTTTTTATAACCATGACCTGCCTTGGTTGTCACTGGTTACTGGACCATGTTGGACAGTTCTAGCATGTTGTTCCCTAACATGCAGGGGACAAACACCTAGTTCTGTGACAGGCAGCGGAGAAACCTGCAGAGTTAGTGATTGCGGGGGGAGCTGTACTTGTGAATGTCACTTGACAGAAATTAAAGTATAAATTTATAGCTTATTTTCAGGAAGGAGGGGATTTACTTTAGTTTAGAAGGTTCCATCTGTTCTCTTCCTTGATCTGAACGTCAAACCTAGGTGGATACTTAGGCTCATAACAGGCATAAGGTTAGCTATTACTGGGTCACAAACTGAGTAAGTTACCTGGTTGTAAATACAACAAGTCTTTAGGTGGGTCCTTGTACATTCATTGTATGTCTAATACAGTAATGTCTTAACTGCTGTAGTCCTTATTCAAGTAGTATGCATGCAGTGTGGACATCCTTTTATGGTTTGCCCTTCCTCCTGTGTAGATACAGGAACTAGCAACAGCAAAGCAAAGGACAGCATCCCTATATTTAGCAGGGGCTGAATAAATCTCTCCTTGCGCAGAGAGACTAACAAAAATGACAGCATAGCAATAAAACAGTTAACAGCACTAAGATAGCAATTAAACTAAAGATTTCTAATCACATTTATTTGGATGACTCCTCAAACTTCGGCCGTGCATGGACTAGTCAGCTTCCAGTTGTGTGACTAGAACAGGGCTTGCAGATTTCCTCAGGCTTTTGCCATGCGTAGACTGGCCAGCCTCTGGAGTGGTGTCAGGTCAGATGGTCTGGATCCTGTTGGCTGGTCTACTGGTCCTGGACTGCTGGTTTTAGCCGACTTTGATAGATCCAAGGTACAATACCTGCAACTTCCAACAGCAGTGGGGTGGACAAGATTACAGTATGGGGCCCATTCTATATGGGTCCTAGAGAAGTTGAGTTCCATTTCTTGACCTAAACAGAGTCCCCATGTTTAAAAGAATGTGCTGGTTGTGTTAGGCTTATAGGTATTTTTTCCTGCACCTAGCTGTGTACTTTTTGCATTGCCATGCCTAAAGCCTGCATTTGTCTTCTTAAAGTTATATCCCCTAACTTATGGAGATCACCCTTAATCTGACTTATAATTGGGGGTGGCCTGCCAAACAGAGTCTCATAGGGCAAATACCTAGTCTGTTTTGTGGGGGTATACCTGAGTGGGAGGAGGAACATGGGCAAGACTTGATCCCACTGCAGGTGTGTTTCTTGGCAAAATTTTTTTAGTAGCTGTTTGAATGTCTGGTTCATGTGCTCCACTTTTCCTGGCTGATAAGCTGTATGTAATTTTCATTTTATCTTTAACAGTCGAGTCCTGAACTATTTCAGCCACAAATGCCAATCCGTTGTCTGACCCTAGAGTTAGAGGTAGTTCAAATCTGGGGATAATGTCTCTTAGCGGTTACCTCTTGTGCCTTCTCTCTCCGGGTGGAGAAAGCCTCTACCTATCCTGAAAATGTGCAGACCAACACTAACATATACCGACAGCCCTCAGCCCGGGGCAACTCGGTAAAGTCTATGAGTAGGTTTTCGGAAGGTGCTGCTCTGACCCTGAATTCTGGGGGACTGTCATGTTTTGTTTTGAGCACAAGTTAGACACTGTTTATGAACAGCTCAAGTGATGGCTGTTGGGACATAGAAATGCCATCTAAGCGCCGGGCGAGGTGGCTCAAGCCTGTAATCCCAGCACTTTGGGAGGCCGAGGCAGGTGGATCACGAGGTCAAGAGATCGAGACCATCCTGGTCAACATGGTGAAACCCCGTCTCTACTAAAACTACAAAAAATTAGCTGGGCATGGTGGCGCGTGCCTGTAATCCCAGCTACTCAGGAGGCTGAGGCAGGAGAATTGCCTGAACCCAGGAGGCGGAGGTTGCTGTGAGCCGAGATCGCGCCATTGCACTCCAGCCTGGGTAACAAGAGTG